TATATATATATATATATATATATATATATATACACACACACACACACACACACACATACATGTTGTGTGTGTGTGTTTGTAGATGTTCACGGGTGGAGATATGCGGCTCTTGTTTTATTCAGGTCTTCTCCCATGTTTGTGATGTAAGTTCCTTCATAGCTTCCTCTGGAAAGCCAGCCGTGATGTTTCCCCTCCAGTGGAACAGTGGGGAAGCACATGACAGATTTGGGACAAAGGGCCAGGATCGTAGACAGGACAGGAAAGAGGAGCGCATGGGAGGGGGAAGGGAGAGGGCAGGGATGATGGACATGGGAGTAGGGGGAAGAAAGGGCCCTCTCAATGGCTCCATGTCAGACAAATGCTTCGACATCTATAAATACCTGGGCAATGCTGGGTTATTAGCTAGTAAATAGATAAAGACAGACTTGTTTTTAGGGCATGACTGAATGGAGAAAACCAGTGAAGGATGACAGAACCTACCTCTGTAGAAAACCTTCCTGAATCACCTTTACTAAATATTTCTCTGTGTAAGAACACCTTATTATATTGTAGTCTGTTTGGGTATAAAATAAAATACCATCCCCACATGAAATCTCAAATTTTGTCTAAACCTGAGGAAGAAAAAAAATGTTTAAATTTGACTCTCTTTTGTTTTCACTTAATTAAGTAGCATTGTTTGCCACTCCTAAATAAACCTTCTTCCTGATTTAATTTTTCCCACTGGTGGATTTAATTACTTATTTCTTGCATTCGTGTAATGTATTTACCTAGACTAATCTGATCAAAATATGATTATATTCATTTTCTCTCAGCTGATTGCCTGGGAACCAGTACAAGAAGAAGATATGACTGTGGTGACAGTACGGCCTAACTTCCAAGACAATATCCATGTTGGTTACATCTCAGGTCTCAAGAAATTCACAGAATATTTCACCTCAGTCCTGTGTTTCACTACTCCAGGCGATGGACCCCGCAGCCCACCACAGCTGGTGCGCACCCATGAGGACGGTACGGCCTTTCCCTTTGGAGCTGGGCAAGGCCCAGCTCTTGGATTCCTATATGTACATTAACTATGGGCCCACACTTTCCTTACACACACCAGGCAGCATATCTTAAACACCCACTTCCATTGCAGAAATCTTGTTATTGCCTCAGCTGAAAGGTCTAGTTTTTCATTGGTGAAATTGCCATATTTCTCTGAAGGCCCTGATGCTTACTTTTCAACCATTCCCAAAGAGGTTTAATGTATTCCTCTGGAAAGTCGGGGACAATAGCTTATCCTTTTGAAGAATTAACAGAATGGTTGTTCTGTTGTAATTTTCTGGCTGATGGATTCTTTGTTTGACTAGTTCCGGGTCCAGTGGGACATCTCAGCTTCAATGAGATCTTAGACACATCTTTGAAGGTTAGCTGGCAAGAGCCCTTGGAAAAGAATGGCATTTTAACAGGTAAGAAGACAAACTTCCAGCTTAAGAGGCTCATCCTTGAGGTTTCATTCATCCTTGAGGATTCATTCAGTCAATTCATTCATTCATTCATTCTTTCATTCATTTTTATGATTAGCTGTATATGCTGACAATCTCACTGACCTGAGTAACTCTGGGCAGCTTACAATAGAATAAAAGCATAGGTATAAAACATTAAAAGCCTTAAATTAAGATTAGCAACAATTAAGTAAAAGATTAAAACCAGGAGCACAGATGGTACAGGAGTGGACTTTTGTCTCCATCAATCAACCACCTCCAGCATAGCACATTCCTATAATTATGTTTTGGTAAACTTCTGCAGATGTGATTAGTATATCTTGAGGATATGTTACCATCAGCAAAAGATAACGAACTACTTAAAAAGATTACAGCTGGAAACTAAAGTTCAGTGCTGGGGCCCTCCACATATAGCTTTTATGTGAGTTCAGAATCTGCATTCTATCTGTTCCCCAAATTTTGTGGTTTTCTGTAGCACACCTGTACCTAAACATATCCTTGCTCAGATGTGCCACATCCGAAGGAATTTTGTAAGAACACCTCTGCAGGATTAATACCTAAGTTATTGGGGAGGTGATTGCCCATTGCCAGAAGCTTTCCCTTTTGTTCACTCTTTTCCTTGCCCAGCTCAAAACAAGGCACCAGTCTTTATTGAAAGTACTGAAGAAGAAGTCAAACCACCATGCTGCCTTGCCTATATTCCATTTAGGTTAAACAGAACAGATTTCCACTTTATTTTCTCTCCCCATGTGAAGAAACATGGAGATACAAGGACAAGAAACAGGGCATTTGCTAGATCAGGGGTCTCAAACTGAAGGCCGGCAGGCCGGATCCGGCCCACGGGATGCTTAGATCTGGTCCGTGGGGGACCCCGAGCTCCATTTTTGGTGGCAAAGAGCTAGCAAGTCCTGCCATAACACATGGCCACCACAGGTGTCCCCAACACAGGTGACATCGAGCTGGCCATGCCCACCCTGGCCCATTTCCCCAAGGTCAAACACAACCCTGATGCAGCTGTCAATGAAATTGAGTTTGATACCCCTGTGTTAGATCCTGATTTTTGTGGTTCCCCTGCCAATGTTTAGGATGGCAATGATGAGGACACATGAGGTAGAATAAAAATATTGCTGAGGATCTGAGGATAAAATTAATGGCTGTAGTGAAATTTTCATCATAAATATTTTGGGAACCAGACTTTTGATATCTATTTGTTCGGAAATCATGCAGCCCCCCCTCCACCCGTTCTCTCTCCTTGTAATAAGTAGATTTTAAAGGTTTTACTGAGTTATTTGGGTTTGTTTTGTCTGTATCCTGGCTAGGAATATACGATGTGTGGTGCTATGTACAGTATCTATATACATTGTGGATTCTTTTAGGCTACCGAATCTCCTGGGAGGAATACAACCGCACAAACACCCGCGTCACACACTACCTCCCCAACGTCACCCTGGAGTATCGTGTTACTGGCCTCACTGCCTTGACCACCTATACTATTGAAGTGGCAGCCATGACATCCAAGGGACAAGGACTGGTTTCTTCCTCTACCATTTCTTCTGGGGTTCCTCCAGGTAAGCTTGGTTTATTGGTCTTCCTGCAGCAATTAGCAGGCTTAGCAGAGATCCCTCGGTCTCTGCCCTTTAGCTTAGAATGAAGATTCTACAAGAATACAATGGAGGGCACAATTCTTTGTTTGCAACCAATGTATGGATGCATTTGACAGGAACTTATGATAGAAAGGCGGCTGTACATACAAATGAACTACAGGCCCAATAATAAGTACAGAGAGAAACTGCTAAGTCCAGATATTTCAAGTAGTTACAAGTAGAATTCCACTAGAAGATAATACATTTCAATTAATCATTTAGTGAAAACGATAGTCCCCCAAATTTTCCTTGTGGATTTTCGATGTTTTTTTTGTGAAGAAAGGGAATGTTTTGACAATGGTCAAGTTAACCTTTTACTTGGTTAACAGGTTTGATTTCTTTTTTCAGAAAAAGGGAAGAGGTGATAACAGGAAAGATATCTCCCTCTCCCACCCTTTCTGTCCCTCTTCCCACATATGTTTTTGGACTGTTGTCCAAAAGAACAGTACAAGTACAAAAGATGCTGTACTTTTTCCCAGTACAAAAAAGTTGGGATTTTTTGGGCAATTATTCTGAGCAGCAGTTCTATATTTGGTTCTGTATACTAGTGATAGAAATCCTAGCCTCTTGCAAGCTGCTAACCTGTCTTGTCTCAGAATCTATTGCTACCTGCTGGGAAAATTAATAAGACTAATATCTTCTTCTACAAGAGAGTGAACCTGCTGATCTGAGCGCTCAAACTGATTCAGCTACTTTCAGGAAATTTCCCTAATTGAACTCTTAACCTTTGAGGGGCATCAGTTTGGAACACTAAGCAATTAGAAGTCATGATACCCCGGGCCTTCAAAACTACAAATGCAACTTCAAGGCATGTTAAAGGAAGACATGAATACAAATAATTACAATGAATCTTAAATAAAGGGACAATGTTTTTTCCAGCATATTTCTGCTGTGTTGCGTAACACAATTTAGCAAGGAACCAACCTTGTCTAACGTATTGTGTTCTTCCCTTAATGAAGAATGAATCGTCCTCTTGCCTTTTCTTACCTTCTTCTGCAGCTTTGAAGGTGCATTTTCTGAAGTACATAATATTCCATACCTGATTTAATTCAGTTTGCCTGACTGAACTTTGACTTTGTCAATCTCAATTAATTTCAATATTTGTTCTCTTCAGTAATTCAATTAATTTGAGTGTGTGTGCTTCGTTTATTCAGGCACATAACACACCCGTCACAATCTAACAACAAGCAACTACTCTCAAGCTTCAGCATTATTAAATTAACAAACATCAAAGTAATGAATATGAAATTACAGACAACACTGTCAGCTCCACTGGTGACCTTCATGAGATGGAAGTTTTGAATACGATGAATATTCAAATCACTTTAGATATTTGTTTGAAGCCTGTGCCAATTCCAAGCCTGCGCCAAATAGGTGGCGATCCTACTTAATGCATCATTAATAAGCCACCATGTCAGTCACCAAAAGCTGTTTGTTGTTTATTCCCATTTCTTGATTTTGGGCTGAGGTTAGGGTCATTTAGATTATCTGCTGCTGTTGGCAGGTCTTGATGCTTGGGGAACAAGCAACACACAATATACATGTTGTGAAACCCATAGGCACCAATGCTTTGGAAAGATACAAAAGCTTTAACAAGTTGTAGACAGATGCTGCTTTCATGCTCCCGTGCAAAGCACCTCTTCCAAACTGAATCTAAAGCATTGCACTGCTCTAATAGACACTCTTTTCTGTGGAGTTGCAGGCAGAAGAGAAGGATGCTTAATCCTTCCAGCTGGATCAGACCAAAGGCCTATTTACTCCTGGATTCATTTTCTGCAGTGACTAGCCAGGTGCTTGGTGGAAACACATAAGCAGGAGATGAGGGCAATGACAAAATCTTTGTAATTGTTAGGGAGATCTGGATGCTTTTAGTCCTGAAGAAATTGTACTGCTTTCTGGACTTAACTCTTGAGAATGTTCTCCTTCCCTATGAGGGATCAATGTTTCTCTGATGCTTCTTGGCTCAAGGTTGTTTCTTTCTGAACCAACCTATTCTTAGAAAATGGTTTTGTTACTCATTAAGTATGAGCGCAAATGTAATCAGATTCTGCGAATTATATAAAGTGATGCATTTTAGGGCATAGAGACTACGTGCCAAAAAGCTATTTGTATTACTTCTCAACTTCCCTAACATCTTAGGACACTTTTAGAGAAGCAGTCGTTTCCTTGAAGCCTGAAATTTTTAGGAAACAAGGTTCTATTGCCTCTTCACATTTTATTTATTTTTTATTTTACTGTAAGAATTTGCACACCACCTGACTCGCCAGACTCTAGGTCTAGAATTGGCCTTGTTTGGGTTTCTTTAGCTAGGATCTCAACAAATATTACAATAAGAGGTTAATCTTTAGATGTGGCACATATTTACACAAGCATTAAACCGCTTTTCTATCCTACTGCACCTTACCCCACCTTGCCCACTTGAGCAGAACCACATTTGATCATCTGATACTAATGGCGACTTCATCTTTGCATCATGGTGTGTAGCATACGTTGGCTGTCCTCTTTTTACCTCAGAGATTTTTTTTTTAAAAGTGTGATCCAGTCTTCCCTCTTACAGTTCTTATCAAATCACGTGTTATGTTTGCTCCTATTACATTTTTTTTAGATGAGTTCAGTTCTCCTCATCCTAGTGTCTTTGAAAGATACTTCAACTTCCATTAGCCAGGTTCATAAGGGAGGACTGTGCAGGCTAATGATCATAGATGTAGAAAATCATCCATTTGGTGGGCACCAGAGTGGGGAAGCCACGACTAGTAAAGTAAATTGTCAGTACAAAAATTGGACAAGATGCCATTTTCATTTTGTATGTCGTATAGCTGGTTAAGTGGGTATTGTCTATGTTATGCCAAATGAGTTCCATGTTCTCTGCTTTCTCTTGTTCACAGAGCTCCCTGGGGCTCCAACTAATTTGGGCATCTCCAACATTGGTCCCCGTTCAGTCACACTTCAATTTCGCCCTGGTTATGATGGAAAGACTTCTATTTCCAGGTGGCAGGTAGAGGTTCAGGTAAGGTAGATCTCATTTGCTGGTTTAAAAAAAAGCAGCAGAAGTTTCCTCCCTTTTATAGTTCTTCATTGAGTTGTTCTATGAAACATAAAGAAGCTTCCCTCTCACTGCATTTCATGTAAATGTTTTGACTTGAAATCTATAATTTCAGATCAAAATAAGACACACACACACACACACACACAGAGAGAGAGAGAGAGAGACAAACTTAGTTTGACCAAGTACCACAGTGGCTGAGGGCAAAAATAAAGGGAATTAGAATGCCTAGGAAACAGTAAATAGAGATAGCAGACCATAGGAGCAATAAACAGAATGGTATTTGATACGTAGTTATACTACATAGCTTTAAGATTTCATATTTATTTAGGAATCTCATTCAATAACCTCCAAAAATAGTAACCTGTAAAAATATTTCTAGCAGAAAATCCTTGATTTGAAAATGAGCAATCCTTTTGAAATCTCAGTGACTAAGTGAAAGCAAAGATAGTGGGGAGGGTCAATGTATTACATAAAAGGCTTTTCAATTGGTGTATTTAATTTATTGTTCTCTTTTTTGTGTGCATGTACTTTTGTATGCATTTTTCCTGCTTGAAGACCAACAACATAATAACAGAATAATGACAAATAATGAGATGGCTGTAATCTATTCTCCCAAGTAAATTATTGTGATTTTTTTAACAAACTTGTCCAAATATTTATTTTGTTAGATAAAAGCAGTCTTGCTTTTCATTCCCTGGAAACATAAATACCAAATGTTACTATTTTAGCTAACTCATTTTTGCTAGGGAAGTAGGCAATAGCGTACTTTCCCAATTTTACTCTGCCTTGCTTGCTTTCAGATGGGTCAGACAGGAGAGAGTGAAGAGTGGATGCTCATCCACCAGCTTTCTAATGAACCAGAGGCTCGGTCCATGGAGGTGCCGAATCTCAATCCCTACACATATTATAGGTAAGTCAAGTGAAGAAGGGAAAAGCTGAAAAAAATGTCAGCCATCATTTAAGGAGACATCAACACATGTTTTTCAGCAATAGATTTATGGAAATGCCCATAGTTTCATTAGAATTTTTTTTCCTGACAAGGAAATCAAGAATGAAGGCTTTCAAACAATATGGTCAAAGTGTTGGGAGTTGTTCTACTTACAATTACTTTTAATAATTTTTCAGGCCCTTGTTTTTTTAACACTGTTGTATATATTTATATTTTATTCTGACAATCAGTTGAATGCAATACAATTATTTTTAAAAAACTAAGTGGTATGAAAAGGGAAAGATGCTGATACCAATCAAGCTACATATTGTTGTATTACTGTAGTTGCACAGGGAAAGAAAGACAAGGGTGGTGATGCCAATGGAGGAAGTAGCAATAATGGTGATTATGACAGTGATGGTGAGAATATAAAGAAGAAGAGGAAGATCAAAATCAATTTTTTCATAAAGTCCAGTTGGAGCTGAGCAAAAAAAACCAACCCCCAAAATAGGGCTCAAGACAAAAACCTTTCTAATGCTTCTTGAAATTCATCTTCAAACCTTGATACCACCAAACAGGGAGGCTCTATAAGAAAATCATGGCTAAAGCCTGTTGATAGACCTATTCCCCATTAAAGTTTTCTTGGAAAACCCAACACTTAGTTTAGAACATGTAGCCCAATTCCCACATAATATCTTTTTTTGCTTCATATATGGGCTTTATGAAAACAAACTTGTAGGGCACTCCATATTTATATGTTCTTATGTATGACATATGGTGGCTCCTCTACTGATAGTAAGAGGAAAGAGGAACAGGGGGAGAAACAAAGCAAAAGCTCACTAAAGGCATGTACATGTAGAAGTTCAGAATCGTGGAGGATTTACTGTGCTCTTCTCCCTTCCAATATTAATCCATTTCCTGTCTGACACCAGTTTCCGGATGCGACAAGTGAACATTGTGGGGACAAGTCCACCCAGCCTGTCTTCCCGCAGGATCCAGACATTGCAGGCTCCACCTGATGTATCTCCTGCCAATATTACAGTACGAACAGCCAGTGAAACCAGCCTCTGGCTAAGATGGATGGTGAGAACTGGAGCCTAAGGAGGCCGTATAATTGTTTCTGGAGTGGCGGGGGGAGCAGACAATAACAAAGCAGAGGAGAAGGGGCAAATCCCAGCAGGCTGACAACCTCTATCATTATTTATCTAGTGAGCCAGACAAACTTCAGTAGTTTGTTTCAATAGTAAATTTGAATTCAAGGTTAGTAGAGAAACTTCTATGAAGCTAAGACTGCTCGTTGAAGCTGGATCAGAAGCTAGGGATATCGCTATAGTGAAATATTGATCAATTGAAATATAGCTTCACCCTTTCTGTCATTTATCATGTTAGGGTAAAATGGAGGTTCTAGAAATAAAGTTAAGGAAAGGGATGGGGTATGAAAAAAGTAATAAGCAACCAGAGAACTAAGCAGTGGGAAATGAAGTATAGATCAAAGTCAGAATGAGGAGAATTGAAGAGGCATCATCGGGCTATCCTTCCTTCACTCCCATGCTAGGTATTTTTGGAGGTTGAAGACTTCAGCTGAATGAGGCTTAATTTTGAACACACTTATCCATTGTTTCCTGTTTCCCTCAGTCATTATTATATTTTCCTCATGCCATAAAATTCTTACCACCTCTAACAGGAACTTTAAGACCAGTCCTTC